CTTTACAGGGTTTAAGCTCGGCAGGATCGATTCCTATTTGTTCGAACGTGCGGAGCATCATTATACTCGAATATGCACTTGTATCTACCATTATCTGATGTACAAGTATTCCACAAATTGGTGCCGTGATCACAAGTGGATCGGAATGCGGGTGAGCGAAATAACTTGCATCATCCACGTTGAAAGTGATAGGGCAATTATTCCGAGCATTGATTTTATCCCGGAGGTCGGTAGTTAAGACGGTTTTGCCCGAGTTGTAAGCTTGCCGAGCATACGCTTTCACCTGCCGACGTGATCCATTTATTTTCCCACTACTGTTGTTAACTCGTGGGACATTATGAAAACCAGGAGGATTAGAATAATCGCTTCTTTTTACTGTTTCAGCTTTCGCTGAGGATGAAGCTTCATTCTCCTCCAAGTTGAACATAAAAACTTATTTTTCACCCTGGCTAATTCGTTTTGGATTGATCGGGCGATCGTCATCTTCATCATCGTCTGGGGGTTCTGGTAGTCTGCCCTTTCGTTTATAATCAACATTCTTTGCAAATCGTTGGACTTGTGGATGTCCGATAAGCCTCAACAAGGCAGAAAGTAAACCCAAACATTCATCTGCGTCGTGTCTTGCCGACTCGTGATATGAAAAGTATTTCGTCTTGTCAAGCTTTTCTTCTGGAGTCCTCACAAGTCGGGGATCGGGTTGCGGCTCCAGCCGAGAAAACTGTTTGATAACTTGACTTGAATTTATTGAGATATTTGGCTCTGGCTTTCTTCACCTCGGGATTATTAGAATTCTCGCTGAACCGAGATTTATTTTGCTTAAAAGATTTATTCTTCTTCTTTTTCGATTCCTGTTCTGGCTCCGATTTATTGGAAGAGAAGTTGAAATTAGGAGCCGACATCGATTCCTCAGCAATGATGTGCTGCTGAGCCCGAGCTAAAAATTCTTGGAATAAGCTCGGTTTATTCTGATAAATACTCCAGCGAAATAGAGAATTCGGCTTTAATCCTGCTATCGCCGTGATCAGTAACGTTTCTGGATGACATTGCTCCATATTCTGTACTCGTTCGTTAAACCGAGTAATATAATCTTTAACACTTTCATTATCCTTTTGTACGATATTGGCAATTGATTCTTTCGGGATCAAAGATACTCGGGCCCTAATAAAATGAGATCGGAAAGCCGTTCTCAATTGTTGCCATTTCGAAATTGAACATCGAGGTAAAGAGTGATACCACTTTTGGGCCCGAGGTCCCAAAGTTAATGAAAACATCCGACATCTCAGTGCATCAATAGCTCCATGGAGGTCCATCCAGGAGGTATATTGACCGAGATGTGCGTCTGGATCCGAGGTGCCATCGTAAATATCAATCTGAGGAACCTTAATTTTTCCAGATAATGGTTCCATTGTAAGTTGTGGAGCCAATGGAGTTTCAGCTTCCAGGTAAACATTAACTGAGGTGGGGCTCTTCTATGAGATTCTTCAGGGCCCCCTTGCCGAGTTTCCAACTCGGCAATTCTTTTTTGTAAAACTTCCAATTCATCCGACTCATGTCTCAGAGATTCCTTTCAATAGTATGACGCAAGTCGGAATGTCTAACAGTTGCGAAGTCGCCGGTGACGGAGGCACCGGTTGTTGACGACGATGTCCTGAATGACTTTCAACAGTAATTTCAGGTTGATTACCTTCTGGTTGGTTATTATTTACAGGAACTTCGTCGTGACCTTGAATTGCTATATTTTGTCGCGACACAAGAGTTCGCAGCTGTGACGTTGCATGAGAAGCAACAGTATTATTGTTCTGTCCTTGAACAGGCGGCGTCTGCTGCCTTATTGGAATGTTTTGAACAGGAGTTTGACTTGGATTTGTTATAGTTGGTCCTGTTCTTGTTTGCGCCGTGAAATTAGATAGATTCTGAGAAACTCTGGATCTTGGAACAAAACAGAATAGTCTATTGTCATAGAAGGTGCAGTCGTATCTTCAGTAGTTTGAAAAGGATTACGACTTGTTCCAGCGTCTCGATTTCTTTCTTGACGCCCAGAACTCATCATGTTGACTACTATAAAGATTGTTTGGCAAATATGTATTTTTTCTTGTATGATATGTCGAAGATTAACCTCAAATTTCTTATGATCCCCTTCCTCTAGCGCTAAGCTGTTGTTGTATGAAATTTAACAACTCATATGAATAAAAGCAAGGTGTGATTAACAGGAAATAAGCGTAAATTATTTGTATTATTGATGATTTCACAAAAGTACAGGAAGTCGGTTTTATAAGTAACCGAGATGTTTTTTATAGTTCGTGTACAATGTGCGGAAAAAGAACCCCGTACAGTCATAAATTCTGCCATTTATAGTACGGTGATTTTGTCTTTTTGTCTGAGGTAGATCAGATCGCATTTAATGTTGAGCAGCTTCAATAACGCGGCGTGTTATACTGTAGGGGAACATCAATGATTATTCTTTGACTTGATGATCCAATTGAAATTGTACAGTGCCTCCTGCTTTGGGATTTGATCACCTCGGATCTTTGTTAAATGGATAATCTTTAGTAAAAACGTCTGCGAGGTCGGTTTCCTTTGTCTTCATTGTAAAGTCGGTTTTGAAGTTTGGTGATTGGTTGGTTATTTCTTCAGTTGTCCAAAGTCGGTCGATATTTAATTGCACCGAGTTGAACTAAGTTGGTCTTCAAAAATAATATTAAAGGACCATTAACAGTATAAAATTATCGATCCTTTAATTAATCTTGGGAAATCAAGTCGGTTATCAACAAATTGCTTATCAAATATTTGTTCAGATATACTGTACGAAAACATCGGATATCTATTGACCGAATATATATTACACAAACAATAATAGTAACAATATGGTAAATGTATATGTTAGGCAAACAAATTTGATGAAGTTCATGTTATGACCTCTTAAGAACAAATAGAATGCATATATACATAAGTTAAACAACATATAAATATTTCTAAAGTGCTATATGCTTATGACATGATAACATGAAAATAAAAGTACAATAACAATTCAAAAACAGAACACACACACACACACACACACACACACACACACACACATATATATATATATATATAGTACACATACAATATGTGGTGAATATGTGTGTTAGATAAACAAATTTGATGAAGTTAAATTTATGACTTCCTCATATTAAGTCCATTGTATGTATACATAAGATAAACAACATATAAACATTACTGAAATGCGATATAAACATGAAAACAAAAGTGGAAACTGTTATTTCACCAAGGTAAAATAACAGTTGGAAAAATCAAAATGTATTTCCTACAATAAATAAATCAGACATAGACAATTTCCACAGAAAAAAAAAACACAATTAAAATACAATTATGAATTCTAAGTTCATTCCACAAACATATTATCGCAAATCATCTAATTACTGATAGCATGATATAACAATTTTACACTCAGTTTACCAAAGCACAAAAACGAAAGTTCATCCTATATGTCCAAATATAAAATAAATCAAACAAGACAAATTCCACCAATAAACAACAAGTATAAACTATAATTTGTGTCCACAAAATATTATTGCAAATCATATAATTACTATACTGTTGGATACACCCACTAAACTTAAAACATGCTTTTGACAGTGAATATAAAACACACGAACACAAACTCATGTACATATGAGGACATTTTGGGTTCACCAATTTTTTTTTTCTCAAAATGGATAATTCATACAAGCAACAAACAATACATAATAATAATATTTTTTTTTAATAAAAACATTTGGACATATATAAATTCATAATAATAAAAAGAACTACCATGTTCTTTTGAGAAGAATTATAGATGTCTCCACTTGGTTGTTGTGCGACCAATTTTTTTCTTCAACTCTCGTTTCTTAGAAAATTCTCGTCGACGCTTATGGTTTTTTGGGTCAAATTTTGGGATATTCGAATCCATCTCACTGTCGTGATTTGATAAATCCACAGACAATCACTCGAATTTTCTTCTTCTCCTCATCAAGTTTGAAATCTGAATCGAACTCTTGTTGATTCTTTGGAGAATCAACAATTTTCGCTTTGCCCTTGTTTTCTTGAACCCTCTTCTTCTTGGTGTCATTGAGCACATTATTTTTTTATTTTTTGTTTGATTTTCTATTCGGACACGAAATCGTCATCGTCATTCGACCCACCCTCGGCAATATTCGGGTTAGGTTTTTTGGCTCGGCTTGGAGGCTCCATTTTCTGAAATTGGAGCTTCTTTTGTACAACCTTGCACACGGGGGGTTGAAGTTGAGTTGTGTGACGAGATCGGCAGCGAGTTATCCTTGCTTCGTCATCGATGTTGGAATTTTTTGCCTCAATTTTTTTACGCTTTGCCATTCTTCAATTTTTGCAGAGNTTGTGAGAGACAAATAAGGTTTTTTTTTGTGAGATGTTCTCTACACAATAAACGAGAGATATGGAGAGAGAAAATATTGATTTCTTTTCTTGTCTTACGATTGAGTGTAGAAGGTGGTGGATATGCACGTTTCTCGAAAATCATACAATAGACTAATTGAGTGTAGTTGGTTGTCTGTAAAACTGACCATAATATCTGCATTAATTACATATAATTATACCCAATTAACGGTTAATCAGACTCCAATTAACCACCTGAACCCTTTAAATTATTATTATAGAACGATGAAAAGTTGTGGTGCTCGTAAATTTAATATTATTTCCATAAGCATTTGTAAAGGGAGTAAATTTCTCACAAAACAAAAATTCATTTACCATGTCTAATTAGTTTCCCAAAGATTTATAAATTATAATGAAGCATGTAAGTGTAGCGATTTCGTTCCAAGTACATAACATTGTTATATAATCCTTGTACATAGCGACAAGAAATCTCCTCAAGGCACAATCCCAAAACAACAGACAGTCACACAACTCTCCTTACTGAAAATCGAAATCAAAGATGATGATAATAATAATAATAATAATAATAATAATAATAATAATAAAGCAGTAGCATTTCAGTCTGAACTTTCAACTCCCATAAAGTCGATGAATTGATACTCTCCTTGGAGCGTGCAGGATTCCGAGAGAGCACCCGAGCTGGCATCAGACATGATGGAATCTCCATGGCTCATCACCCCCTGATTTGAATGCATAGATGAACAATGCAAACCAAACACTGAAGAAAATCCACCACCTAACACAGGCACCATTTCAGTCATACCAGACATGATAGAATTGTTATGTCCCTGGAAGGTACCATTAGAAAACTGCAAACCAACGGCAACAGTTGACATGCTCCCGTCTGAAGATCCTTTGCTGAGAGGGGTGGAAGATAGGCGTGAGGCCTTTTTGTATTTGTTCCCCACCAGTAAATGGTACTGGTTCTTCACCTGATTGTCTGTTCGGCCAGGGAAGTGACTTACAATGATTGACCACCGGTTTCCATATTTTCCATGGAGATCAACAAGCCTCTGCTGCTCTTGTTCACTGAACGGTGTTCTGTCCACTTTCGGATCCAATTGGTTAATCCATCTCAGTCTGCAACTCTTGCCTGGATATTTAAAAA